TTTTATATATTCTTATGCTTTATATATGTTTATTCTTTATATATTCTCGTAGTTATTACTTCGTCTGATATTCTGTTTTCATTAAATTTATAGCAAACCGACACCTAACAAGGAATCCGATGTCAGGCAGAGGAAGTGAAACAGCAAGTAAATAAATTAGAACGATACAAGTTGGAGAACGGGGTCGTCATGTGTAGAAAGCTGTAATGGAAATCTGTAAAGACAACGGAACACGGCTTTTGAATGAGAGAGAGAGAAAGATGTGTCGTCATAAATGTGGAACAAACACTGCAAAATGGACAGCAGCGAGCTTGAGTGGGCCATTTATAGTGCGCATCTGTGTGAAAACAGGCGTGTGCAGCAGACGCGTACAGAGCAAGATCACACAAGTTACTAACAAATTAAATTAAGCCTTATTACGGGGGTGTTCACTCCGATTTATCAGATATTCGCCTGTTCGTATTCTTTAATTACACTGCTTTAACCAAGAGATGTGTCGAGTTATGTACAAGTGCCGATGATGACACGAGTGCGTGCCAGAGAATGGAAGGTATGTGTGCGTGTGTGTGTATGTGCGTATGTTATGTATGTACGAGAAAGAGAGAATAAGAAACAGAGAGAGAGGGTGGAGGAGAGAGAGAGAGAGAGAGAGAGAGAGAGAAATAATGCATGTATGCGACAAGCTAACAAATAAACAGACCGATAGATTGAAAAAAAGCAGAGATAAAATGCAGAAATAAAATATCCACCGAACGGGAATACACGCGCGATGATTACATATAATTTCTTACAAAACGCTTCGAGGTGCATTCTAACAAGCACCATGGTTCAGTCACGCGTTTACTTGTCACATACATCGCTCTATTGTCCCGGGCGGCGTTTGTATTCGCGTTCGTGGATATGCCACATATTAGATTTGCGTAGAACTCGTTTCTCAAACTTCGCACGTGTGACCGAAGAAAAAAAACTTTATGGTAGAGCCGAACATATGTGCTCGATGCTAGTTATGTAATAATAGGAACGCTGGCAGTGCGTGCCACAATTGACTTCCGGATATATGCTCGCGTACTTTTCGCAAGAGAGAAAGAGAGATTGAGAGAGATTGAGAGAGAGAAAGAGAGAGAGAGAGGGGGGAGGGAAAGAAAACAAAAGAAGAGAGAAAGTTTATCTTTGGCGTCGCCTTATATTCCATCGCTCGTGAAAGTATCCCGGAAGTCTGGCTGCACGCGACGCCGTTGTTAATGACATTAATGTAATTAATATTGTAATATTATTGCCATCGTTACTACTGCTGCTACATCTATCGTTATTATAATTATTACAAGTATTATATCGTTAATTTTATCATTCTATTGTAATAATTTATAATCCGTACCAACACGATTCTCTATATCCACAATGTCGTCATTGTCATAGGCATTACAATTTTTATCCATAACGATTATTAGCAACCGTTTCGCGGGTATTTTGCGTTTATTTTTATTATTATAACCGCTTCTCTGAAAACTGATAGATCAGCTACATAAGTAAAATAGTATGGAAATAGGATTTTAAAGAAGGTAATCCATTAAAGAAATTCAGGACGCGTCATTTTTTGTTTAAAAATGTACAAATGTTTTATTGCTCAAACGCGCGTTCTCGCTTGCTCTTTAAAGTAGATGATGTAAATGCATCCCATTGAGCGTGTCGGTATTCTATTACACGATATAAACAAACGCATCGAGCGAGATAAACTTAGGTACATGTTTTTTTATCGATCTTTGAATTTTCGAATTTCAGAATTATTGAATCCTGTTCTTCTTGGATCCGTGGGTCTTTCAAGTCTTATTTTCTTCATGTTAAGCTATATGGCCCTTGGATCTTTCTTGAATCTTCGAATACTTACTGCTAAATCGTAAGATTCTTTTAATTTTGGACCCAAGGATCCTCGGACAGTTCGGACTATCAAATTTTCGGCTACTACATGAAATTTACTTATATAATTATACAGTTTTTCCACCGCAAAAGCACAAAAGTTTGACGAGAGTTCATGCGCTCTATACAGAATTACAGGGCGCAGGCCCTATGGATATCTTCTTTGGTCGTAAGCGCCACTTCTATGCTTCCTACGGGTCAATTTCTCTCCCCGTTTCTTAAATCCAGCGACTCGATTCAGATGGATCTTCGAGGGAGAGAAATCACGGGAAAAGAGAAAAAAGAAACAGATAAAATAGCACCGCACAGGGGTTGCGTAGTCCTTTCTTCGCGACCTCTGTCACTACAACTCGGATATGTACAGATCGCTTCGGTGAAGCGAGTAAATCGTTTTCTCGCGATTTTTGATCTGAACTTTCTCTTGATTACTTCGGCTGGTTGTTGTAATCCACATAAACGCGCACAACCTCGCCGCTGTACTTCCGCTGGCTGGGCATGAAGTAGAAGTCTGGTTGATTCGCTTGGGTTGCTATGCCTGGATTGTGCATGCTCTTGGGTCGTCCGTAATGATCCCTGCGATCTTGCGTATAATAACCATGCTGGATAGGCGCCGAGTGTCTGGCACCGGGCGCACGTGGAAGACTGTAAGTCGCCCTGGGTCCGACCATCCTGTTGGGCCCTTCGACTGCGTCGGTACCATTCATGCCAGTTATGCCGTTGCCGGTCATCTCCCTAGTTCTCGGCAGGCTAGAAATCGGGGGCGGCGGCGCCTTCTCTTCCGTTTCGAACGCCTCAAACGCGAAGTTTGTGTTCGCACCGGAAGCGTAATCTTTCCAGGCATTACTGGCAATCAAACGTTCCTGCGCAAAAAGATGTGCTTAGAATATGAAATATGTGTGTAGATAATTTTACCAAAACTTTATTATTTTTTTAATCATACCCTCGTCATTTCTCTATCAGAAATTATAATCTTATGTATTTCACACATATTTGTTTGTCAATTGGCACAACAAAAAAATATTTGTCCACGATGATCTGTCGACGCATATATTTAAAAAATATCCAAGTCAATTTAATCACCCTATATTAGTGGAAAAAAATCAAACGGGAAGAGTTTGATGGAAAGGCGCAAAAAAATGTGCGATTACGAAGAGTTAGAAAGAACCAGGTAACAGCGAGTTAGTCAAATACTTGGGTTAGAGCGAAAGAACATAGGGATGAGTGTGACATTGCGCACCGATTATATTCGACGAGAAGCTCTACCAGCTTGGATTAACTCGATGCAATTCAGACGAAGCGTAGTGATGCCGAAACTGATGTTGATGATGATGGTGATGGTGATGGTTGGTATTGTTGTTGTTGTTGTTGTGATGGTGATGATCGCCGTTTTGTTGTCGATGGTACCGTGTCGCGTTCGTACGATGAATCGGGTTGGGCGCATCGGAGGAAGCCAGAGGCAGCGTGTACACCCTCTTTTTTGGTCGCGGCAAGCGCGAGTCATGCAACACAAGCGAAGCAAAAGATGTCGGGTTCATTAGGGGATGAAAGCGTAGTTTTTACACTACAGAATGTCCCAAGAAGACGCGAATCGGCAATCTGATCTTTCAGGCTGCTTTCGCGAAGTAAGAGAAGAAAAGAGAAACCTGGTGTCCTCTAAATATACTATGATTTTTCTTTTACAATTCTACGATTAGAATTTTTTTAGCATTGAGTTATTTTAATTACATTTGTTACGATATTACAGTTATTTAGTTAATACTACTACGATAAGTGCAAGAGAGAGTTCCATCAAAATGATGCTTAAAGGCTATTTTTCTTTGAGATAGAATTCTGATAGCGTACATCTTTCTTGGAACACGTTAGGGATCACCACAAGATTTCGTTAGAGAAGAAACAGAACACAACACTTAGGGGGAAGATCTGGGAATGCGAGAAAAAGTGGAGAGAAAACAAATACGTGAAAAAGAACAAAAAGTTTCTAATGCACACAAAACATACCTTAGTCGCTCGTTTCCTTGAGCTCTTGTAAATAGTACAACTGGCTTGGAGCAGAGCGAGAGCTAGCAACGCTGCTACACAACCAACGACGATATAAAACTTTGTCGCACCCAGGAACAAGTCCGTCGCGGAGGGCGGCCGATCATTTTCATCTTCCGTCTGTATGTCGTTTACTGAAAATAAGTATAATACATATTTTTATCTTGTGAAGTAACGATAGATCAATGGGGATGATGAGTATCTTAAATAATGTGAACAAATCTCCATTTCCTCGTAATATTAGCACTTAAAAAATGCTATTTGAAGCTATATAATTGAATCATATAGTTCTTGAAATTTTAAGACGATTACTGTTGTGATATCTGGAAAAATCTGAATCCTTATTTCTTAAAAAAAAAAAAATGAGAAATCATCTAATTTCGTTTAGGATAGAAAATTTATCAAAGGAGAAGAGAGTTTTTTTGTTAGAATTAGTATATGATATTTAGGATTAATTTATAATTCATAGTTAATTCTTAACCGAGGTTCAACTCATTTCTCATTTCTTTCCAATTTTAGAGATAAGAAATCCCAAGTAGTGCCTAAAACGTTAAAAAAAACACTAAAAAGTGTATATAAGCGCTTTTTTAATTAGCGCTTTATAGGCGCTACTATGCTACTTGGAATAAATTAAACTTTGATTAAGAATTAACCATGAGTTATGAAACTAGGCTTCAGAACCTCAATGCTTACCTCTGGGTGTTCTTACTACTAAGTACTGCGGATCGACGCCGAGTATACCGACTTGACCGGTCACGACTGCCTCGCGCAACGCTTTTTCTGCTTCTAAACCGGTGTCCGCGGGTTTTAACGATCTACCCTTGATCTCGGCCCTGTCGATGATCAGGTTCATGCGCGCGATCACTCCCCGTTCGTTATCTCTGCAACAAGAACGGAAAGGAGTAGTACTTATCAAACTTGTTTCTTGCTACTGCTTCCTTTTTGCTATCTTACTTTCGTAACTCATTGAGATAGACGTTATAGTAACCCGGAAGCATCTTGAAGACCGGTCCGAAGTTCTCCGATATCTTGTTCGAGATTAATTCGAAATCAGGACTATCGGATTCGGGAATCATAAATCCGTCACCCAAGCTGACGAGCTTGACTTCAACATCGTAATAGAACCTTGGCGGTGGATACGTGCTTTGCTCTTCAATTTCTAAGTGGACAGTTGAATGATTTTTCTTAATATATATAATCGGAGGTATATTTTGAAACATAATAAATTAGCATTAATCGTATACATTAATAATCATAAGAAATAATGTTTTAACGAAAAAAGATTAATTAAGTAACAACCACATTTTAATAACAATTGGATAAGAAAAATTTTCTAATATAATTAAATTTAATATAATAATATATTAAATTAATGTCTTTTTAACAATTATATTATGCTTCAATAGTTGTGTCGGACAACTTTAGCAAACAACAAAAATACAGTAATCGGTATTTACCTTCCTGGCCGCAAGACTTGATACATATTCTGTCTGAAGAAACGACCGGTTTCACGTCGTGCTTTCGAATCTTCTTATTGATCGGATTAAATATGCCTCCCTTCACCGGGAACATCATATACAAACAGTGATCATCCGTAAACGAGAAATCCTTGTCGTCTTTTGTTACGCGTTTTCTCGAGAATTGGAGGGTGGTTACGCCATTCTCGATGCGGCCGCTGATGTTGTATACGTCTTGCGATGGATCCAGCAACGGCGCGGTGTAGCCACTGATCCAGGTGTCCATCACGAAAGCCCGACC